TTCTGCAGTAAATAAAATGGAGCATCGCCTTTGCAGTTTCACACAAGATCGAATTAGGATCATAGCTGATGATCCATCACGGGCTAGACTTTGTAGTTTGAACGTGCGAGGCTTTGTGAAATATCGACTTCGAATTTTTGCAGCCTGTCTTTTCTTTCTTTCCTCTGTGTAACTTTAGTTTGCTAGGCTCTGTTCGTTTGGCGTTTACTCTCACTGTCCCTTCAGGACTGACGCGTCGATTTGTGTTTTTCAGTTCGCTGTTCGCAATACGCATTCGGCTCACAAGCACGAAATTTCACCAAGAGAAGGATGGGGTTGAGAGCTTTTAACTTCTTTGCTAGGTTTCACCTATTATCAGCCGTCCACATGATTCTTGGAAATCATTCTCTGGACGAGGTCTCTCTCTTTCTTCTCTCCCCGTATCAACACGTAGGAGTATCAATATTGGTTTGATTGCCTACAAAATGAGACATCTACATGCTATGGACTGAATTTAGTTGCTTGGAAACATGTCACTGTCTCAACTTAATTTATGGAAATTCGAACGGTCTACTTATTTAACCAACGACGTGAACTGTGAACATGCTTTTCCAGGTGGCGCAAGCAACACTATCACTGGGCAAAACTGCCGCCCCAATTGCAGCCACCACACTCCTCATCTTCTCCAGGTCCATCATCTCCATGCTCTTCCTGAGCCGTCTCGGCAGAACAGACCTGGCCGGTGGTTCGCTGGCGCTAGCATTCGCAAACATCACAGGCCGCTGTGTTCTCAAGGGCTTGGCCATGGGGATGGAACCCATTTGCTCCCAAGCCTTTGGGGCCAAGAAACCGTCCATTCTCATCCAATCCTACCAAAAGAACCTCCTCTGTCTCCTCCTCATCTGCATCCCGATCTCGCTCCTGTGGCTCAACATGGAACCTCTGTTCCCGAGACTCGGCCAGGACGAAGGCGTCGTGAAAGTCGCCAGAGCTTGCATGGTTTGCTTCGTTCCCGAATTGTTTGCTCAAGCTCATCTTCAGCCTCTGAGGACCTTCCTTAGGACACAAGGTTTGACAACTCCCGTGACATTGGCTTGCCTATTCGCGGTTGTCTTACACCTCCCGATCAACTATCTTCTTGTGATTTACATGGACTTGAGGGCGAAAGGCGTTGCCCTGGCTCTTGCCTGGAACACAATCAACACTAACTTGGGTGTGTTGACCTACCTAGTCATATCTAGGAAGACCCTAAAACCTTGGCAAGGAAGGGGCATCTTCCTCCGAAATAGTTTCTGTGAGTGGAGGTGGAGGCCGTTGCTAACCCTAGCAGTGCCGAGCTGCATCGCCGTGTGCTTGGAGTGGTGGTGGTACGATATTCTGCTCTTTCTGTGCAGCTTCCTCAAAAACAACTCCAGAGCGAGCATCTCTGCAATGGGGATCATGATTCAAATAGCAGGCTTATTCTACACGCTCCCTTTTGCTCTAAGCTCGAGCCTCTCGACTTGCATTGGCCATGTACTCGGTGGGGGTCACCTGTGCTGAGCCCGGGTTCTATCCACTGTAGGAATCACTGCATCAATTTTTCTCGGTTTCCTTACCTTCATTTTCATGATTACCATGAGATCGGCTCTCGGCAGAATGTATACAAGCGAGCTGGAGATTCTTAATTTAGTTTCCACAGCGCTTCCAATCATGGGGTTGTGTGGGCTTGTGGGTGCTCCTCAAACAGCTGTTTATGGAGTCCTAGCAGGGACTGCTCGCCCGGATCTGGGACCGCGTATAAAGCTATTTTCGTTCTACTTCATTGGAATGCCGATTGCTATTCTATTGGCCTTCAAGTGGGAGTTCGGTTTCAGGGGGCTATGGTTTGGGCTTCTAGCATCTCAGATCTCTTGCGTTTCTATGATGGCCTATACATTGATGAATATGGATTGGAAGCAGCAAGCCGGACGGGCCAGCGAGCTGACAGAGGCTGCCGGAGACAAGGATGATTAAGAATCTCAAACAATTCCGATGGGATTGACCCTGTAAATACGGTGTTTCGTGTGTGTTTGTTCGGACATCTGGAACTCACTTTGCATTGTGACCAAATGTGATATTAGTGCCTTCATGTACGTACCATGTAAGAATCCACAAAGCAGCTGTGCAAACTAGCCTAATATTTGCTGTGCAATTGATAGGTAAGACTGACGTTATCTAGCGTTAATAATACTGTGTTCAACCACCGGGACCGCAACGAGAAACAGAGGTAACAGATGTCAATTACTGGTTTCTATCCGAATATAAGTTTCCCATACAGTAATAAGGGTGCTAAAAACGTTTCAAGAAATCATATGCGACTCATATAAGATAACATAGACAGCATAGAGACTTGTTAGCAGTGAACGCTGACAAAGATCAACTTTATAAGGGACGAAATACAGAACAGAAGATACGATTAGCATACAACCTAAATGTGGTCCACAAGGCAACCCTCATAGGAGCATCAGGCCATTGTTCCACATGTAACATCTGTTGCGTCGATAGATCAACAGCAACGACACTAATACAGGGATTGACAATATCACAAAGCAGCCGCCTATGCATCACGCTCTGCTAGTCGTAAAACAATCCAAAGATCTTCAAGGAGTTCAATATCATTAGAAATTCACAACACATGCAGACTTAACATAACTTTTTTTCTTGGTGATATCTGTAATTGTAATCACTGAGTTCGAAAATCAAAATATCTATTGTTATGTTTTCTTGGTGAGTGTCCTAAGTGGTCTTAACAAGTAGACTCATGCACTCATGAACAATTAACATAACACTTGTTGAAGAATAATGTACCCGTTGGAGAATATTCTGAAAGGATTTTGATGATAGCACAACTTAATCCAAGTATTAAATAAGTTCGTTTAAGTGTGCACATGCTCATATCTAAACCACGCAGAAGTTAGGATTTGACTCTACAAGTATATAAGTCTAATTTCACTAAGTCTGAAAACAGCATGAGGAGGGATGCAAAGCCAAAATCTTGGTTCTACAAAAAAACCAGACTTGATCGTTAGTCACTTTCCATTAACAGAAACTTTCTAAATAAAAGACCTAACTCATACCAACAAAATATGATTTTCCATGGTTATTTGTGCCCAAAATCATGGACAAATTCGCTCAAGAGATTGGTGAGATGGCTCGATCAAAACCAACCATCAATAGAAATTCCTATTGACAGTCCAAATCGAGGAAAGGTTCAGTGTTTTTCAAGGGGAAATGCCGAGATTATTCACAGAGAATTAGGTAGATATAATAGCTACGTGATTCAAGTGCAACGTTGGAATTTGGAGCTCCATAAATTGGGGAAAACTCGGCCAGAAGTCATATAGTTAGAAAGGGCAAAAATAAGAGAAATTAAGCGTTCTTGAGAAGTTTTTGAGTTCATATCTTTTGTAAGCTCATGATACTCATTTGACCATTGTCCTAAAGAGTTAGCAAGAGTGACAAACCAATTTGTACACACACGAGAAGTGGTTGTATTGAGAGTGAATGCTTGTGTTTATGTGAGAGACAAAGTATAAAGGGACTCTTTGTAAACACTTAGAGGTGTGGTTTATAGTAGTCTGGGGAGAGTATTTACCGTGCAGTGTGTACAAGGTGTGAGAACGACCATTGGGAGGTGCTATAGAAGGAAGTCAGGTTCCACGCAGAAACAAATCCTGCACTTGTTATAACTAGTGGAATTCGGTCTATTCGGACTGTTAGGGCGTAAAAGCAATTTACCCTAGACCAAGCCGGATTTTTATAAATTATGTTCGTAATTTCTCTTTTCCTAAACTCGTTGATATCTGTTGCTTTTGAAATAACGTGTGGGGTTGGTTATACAAAATTAGTTTGTATTTTATTGAAAAAGCAATTTCCCCTCTCCCTTTGATTGCTTGTCTGAACCTAACTGTACCGAAACGAGCTTTGTGGGGGTTGTCAGCCAACATGAACTCAAAAACACTCAATGACGTGGAGCATAATCAATGCAAAAGCTTGGGCATTATTGCCCTCTTCCAAATATTTTATTTCCTAGATTAACAAATAAGTCTAGATGGGGACCATTAGAGAAAATCCCAGTATCTATCTCAGTCTCTAATATCCAAATAATAGATTTGGAACTATATTGATAAATTTTCAAAATATTTAGAATTAAATTGACAAATTGTCAAAAGATTCAGGATTAAATTGGCAAATCGTGAAAAGATTTATGACTTTTTGGATAATTATCCCACGACAAACAAGTTCAACGTCTATTCTCGAGTCCATGAATTTCAGTTTGCAGGCAAATCATACTTCAAAACGAGCAAGTGAACTTCATATTGTCGCGATGCTATATGTATTTTCTCTCTTCTTTGCTCCCAAATCTTCTATAAACACTTCAATCATGAAATTAAACTGGTCATATAAATAAGGCTCAGCCTGTTGAAGTTATAGTTCCCATGAAAACAACACTAAGTATACAAAAATAGACCAACTTCCTAAATAAGTGGGAGATACTCAATGTCTTATCAGTCCTCGTCACATTATTGAGCATTCGAATATAGTAAATTAGTCGTAGTACACTTATCACTTTAAGTGACATTGGCCAAAGGCAAGTTGGTTCTCAAATTATAGCAACTCCATGAACTACTGAAAAGCTTCTAAAAGCACGTCATGACATATTCAGATCAAAAGTTGGTGGACACCCCAAAGGACTAACGCACCGCTGGCGTTCTCAAAATTCAAGACAGGAAACGATAAGCTTCTGCAATATATAAACTGGAGCATCGCCTTTGCGGTTTCACACAAGATCGAATTAGGATCATAGCTGATGATCCGTCACTGGCTAGACTTTGTAGTTTGAACGTGCGAGGCTTTGTGAAGTATCGACTTCGAATTTTTGCAGTCTGTCTTTTCTTTCTTTCCTCTGTGAACTTTAGTTTGCTAGGTTCTGTTCATTTGGTGTTTACTCTCACTGTCCCTTCAGGGGTGACGCATCGAATTGTGTTTTTCAGTTCGCTGTTAGCAATACAAATTCAGCTCACAAGCGCAAAATTTCACTAAGAGAAGGATGGGGTCAAGAGCTTTTAACTTCTTTGCTAGGTTTCTCCGACCATTAACCGATGGCGCGATTCTTGGAAATCATTCTCTGGACGAGGTCTCTCTCTTTCTTCTCTCCCCGTATCAACACGTAGGAGTATCAACATTGGTTTAATTGGTTACAAAATGAGACATCTACATGCTATGGACTGAATTTAGTTGCTTGGAAACATGTCACTGTCTCAACTTAATTTATGGAAATTCGAACGGTCTACTTATTTAACCAACGACGTGAACATGCTTTTCCAGGTGAGGCAAGCAACACTATCACTGGGCAAAACTACCGCCCCAATTGCAGCCACCACACTCCTCATCTTCTCCAGGTCCATCATCTCCATGCTCTTCCTGAGCCGTCTCGGCAGAACAGAACTGGCCGGTGGTTCGCTGGCGCTAGCATTCGCAAACATCACAGGCCACTGTGTTCTCAAGGGCTTGGCCATGGGGATGGAACCCATTTGCTCCCAAGCCTTTGGGGCCAAGAAACCGTCCATTCTCATCCAAACCTACCAAAAGACTCTCCTCTGTCTCCTCCTCATTTGCATCCCGATTTTCCTCCTGTGGCTCAACATAGAACCTCTGTTCCTGAGACTCGGCCAGGACGAAGGCGTGGTGAAAGTTGCCAGAGCTTGCATGGTTTGCTTCGTTCCCGAATTGTTTGCTCAAGCTCATCTTCAGCCTATGAGGACCTTCCTTAGGACACAAGGTTTGACGACTCCCGTGACATCGGCTTGCCTGTTCGCAGTTGTCTTACACCTCCCGATCAACTATCTTCTTGTGATTTACATGGACTTGAGGGCGAAAGGCGTCGCCCTGGCTCTTGCCTGGAGCACAATCGACACTAACTTGGGTCTGTTGACCTACCTAGTCATATCTAGGAAGACCCTAAAACCTTGGCAAGGAAGGGGCATCTTCCTCCGAAACTTCCGTGAGTGGAGGTGGAGGCCGTTGCTAACCCTAGCAGTGCCGAGCTGCGTCGCTGTGTGCTTGGAGTGGTGGTGGTACGATATTCTGCTCTTTCTATGCAGCTTCCTCAAAAACAACTCCAGAGCTAGCATCTCTGCAATGGGGATCATGATCCAAATAGCAGGTTTATTCTACACGCTCCCTTTTGCTCTAAGCTCGAGCCTCTCGACTTGCATTGGCCATGCACTCGGTGGGGGTCACCCGTGCCGAGCCCGGGTTCTATCCACTGTAGGAATCATGGCATCAATTTTTCTCGGTTTCCTCACCTTCATTTTCATGATTACCATGCGATCAGCTCTCGGCAGAATGTACACGAGCGAGCTGGAGATTCTTAATATAGTATCCGCGGCGCTTCCAATCTTGGGGTTGTGTGGGCTTGTGGGTGCTCCTCAAACAGCTGTTCATGGAGTCCTAGCAGGGACTGCTTGCCCGGATCTGGGAGCGCGTATAAAGCTATTTTCGTTCTACTTCATCGGAATGCCGATTGCTATTCTATTGGCCTTCAAGTGGGAGTTCGGTTTCAGGGGCCTATGGTTTGGGCTGCTAGCATCTCAGATCTCTTGCGTTTCTATGATGGCCTATACATTGACGAATATGGACTGGAAGCAGCAAGCCGAAAGGGCCGTTGAGCTGACAGAGGCTGCTGGAGACAAGGATGATTAAGAATCTTAAACGATTCCGATGGGATTGACCCTGTAAATACGGTGTTTCGTGTGTGTTTGTTCCGACATCTGTAACTTGCTTTGCATTGTGACCGAATGTGATATTAGTTGCTTTGTGTACGTGCTAAAAACCTTTCAAGAGATCATATGCGATTCATATAAGATAACATAGACAGCATAGAGACTTGTTAGCACTGAACGCTGAGAAAGATCGACTTTATAAGGGACAAAATACAGAACAGAAGATACGATTAGCATACAACCTAAATGTTGTCCATAAGGCAACCCTCGGAGTAGTATCAGCCCATTGTTCCACACGTATCATCTGTTGCCTCAATAGATCAACAGGAATGGCACTACAGGTATTGACAGTATCACGAAGCATCTGCCTATGCATCATGCTCTCCTAGTCGTAAACCAATCCAAAGATCTTCAAGGAGTTCAATATTATTAGAAATTCACAAGACATGCAGACTTGACAAAAACTAATTCTTAGTCTCAACGTAAAGCAACTTCTATCAAAAAACTCCAAGAACTGTAAATCAAAGCCAGCTATCAGAATAAAGAAACAATGTCCAATACTAACTACGGGTGAACATTTTCAGAGAGAACTGTATATGTGCTACGCTCATAGGCTCAAGGAGGGATGCAATTCGAACATTCTTAAGAGGCACTGTATGGATTTGGCCAAGAACAGCCAGAACATAAATACAGGTATAGCTCACATCTTTCTGGCCATGTAAGACTGTAGACAAAATTCCTGCATGTAAAGCTTTCTGTCCATTAAAAAACAGATCCCCTGATAGGTCCTACAAGTTCCTCTTGATGAGGCCGATTCTGAATCTACAAATAATTCCTCTAACATTCCGACAATTTGTCACTCAACTTTTGCCACTCCGCCGACAGGCATGCTGCTCTCTGCAACAGTTTCTTTGACAAACCTGGAAAAGTGAATCCTCTATCAGAACTGAATAAGATGGAATAGATGATTGTCCCAAATAAAATAATGGAGTCATTGATGTAGATAGCAGAACATTATCACAGCAATATGTAGGACGGCAATTTCATGATTGAAAATTATAAGGCCTTTTAAACTATTGTTCACAAGCTTATTGAGAGAGAAAAAAATTGGAGTTGAAAATTTTAATCACTCCAAACAACCAACAAATTCTCTTTTTCATGACAAATATAGATATCTGAATGAAGTCGCGTGACTTCCTTCTGCTACACAGGCAAATGTAAATGTTCAAGTTCTCTACTGCATATCCTCCCACCAGAAACTTAGAGACAAATCTCATGATATTTCCTCCTCTCTTGTTATGTTAAACTCTTTTCTCTTTTTCTGTTTAAGAAGCCACTAAATAGAAGAGTATGGAAAGAATTTTGGTAGGTGCAACTTCATCTATAATTATCGCAGCCTATTTCCACAGTAAGCAATGACTTGGGTAGACTAATGTTATTAACCTATAATCTACCAGAATCAAAAGACAAGCTAAAACTAAATCCTCCTTTATGCTTTAAAAAGAGCGAGGGAAATCAAAAAGCACATATAGAAAGTACCTCGCTAGTTTTTCCCGGGATGATTGCAAGACGTAGATTGAGAGTATGAAAGACAGGATGAGTCCTAGTCAAAATACATGAAGAAATATTAAAGCTGAATCCATCTCTCTATAAATATGGTACTTGCAAACACTAACACTTGAACAAGGTGTAGATAGAGAGTATGAAAGATAGACAAATATGTGCAAAAGGAGTTGCTTGACCAGATTGATACCTGATCCGAACAAAACGTAAAATCCAGAAGTCACATCAATCTCTGACTGCTCCTCCCTGTTGAAAAGAACAATATCAAAATAACAACTTTTCACATGGAAGCAAATTTCAAGGATGTTAACATTACATAAAACATGTACAAGTAAATGCAAAACAGGGGAACAGTTAATAACTGAAAAAAAAAATTAACCAGATTTCTAGCATAACCATACTTAAGCCACTGAATGAAACTTGATGAACATTTTGGCCGGTTCGTGCTAAATCGGGCATAATAATACACCCAAGCAAAAATGCAATAGGTCAATTGACATGATAATAGTCCATAAAATATAAACCCATGTCATTTAAAACATACAAAGGGATTTCCAAAGATGAGATGCTTTTTGCAAGAGCACAAACCTCACGGTTGAAAAGTACAAAGTCTTCCAAGAAAATATAAAAAAAAAAGTTCAATCGTTATAAAACAGGCTACTCAGGTCAGAAGATGCATGTCTTCAAGATAAATATTGATTCCACAATGTATTCTCAGGAATGCATGGAAAGATTCATTTACATGATTACACATGATAGGTATTTGCATGGCCAAGACTTGCTGGTCAAAGAGAGCAAATATATCTCTACAATTAATGTTACTGAAATTGAGGTTCTTAGCTGCTAACCTAATAGAAACCCCTGGCAATGAAAGCCAATGCTTGGAGACACTGACCAGCTTATTTAATTATTTCACTGTAGGTTGCTAAGTGATATACACTTTCTGGGATCATATAATAAAATGAGCTAAAACTTAGTAACTTACCATGAGTATCTGACAAGCACGTGTTTTGGCCAACTATTGACATCCCAAAATTGTTTCATGATGTTGGGATGAGTTTCAACATCTGTTCACAATAAACTAAGTCAATAGCTGCAACTTCTAATGAAAATGAAGAAATAAGACCGTAACTTGCAACCATTTTTCCTTGAAAGATTGACCCAAAGACTAATTGCAGCTACCAAGTTTTGCCAGCATCATCTTTTCAGAAAGTTTCAAGTATGACCTACATAAATGATAGCAATACAAGCAAGCTTTGACATGCTTGCACAGTAAAAGTACAGTAGAATCTGAAGCAGTAAAAGAAGAACATGAAATGGATATATAGCAGGACAGATAAACATCAGCAAGAGTAAAAGCATAATAAAATAGATTTCAATCGTGATTACATGAGAAAGCTTTCAAAAATCAGACGGGGTTTTTCAGTCTTTTGATCATACCACTCAAAGTGATTTAGACGCTCTTTCATGGATTACGACTAAGTTTGGTAACTCTTAAGAATTTGTATTAGTCACAAGAAATGTTGCTGTTATAATACATACATATTGATGAAGGCAAAATAAAATTGGTGCCGAGCAGAAGTCGTTTTATTAATTCCTTTTCTTAACAGAAAGAGACACGGATGTAGAAAAAGTCACTTACAATGGTGAGGCATATCCATGACTTTGGCTGTCACACCAAGCAAATCACTTCCCGAGTATCTCTACACAAAAATGATGGCCAAGAAAATTTGTTAAACAATTGTCATGAAAATCACAGAAAAATATCAAGGGTGATACTTACCAAATGCACATCAATCATCGGCACCTCTTTACCGCTGCGATTTATAAGAAAAAGCCATGGGACTAGAAACTTCTCTCTTCCAACTTGGAACGATCTGCGTATGTCAAACAATTTTCCAACCAAAATAAACACAGTATAACAGAGGCAGGGAAAAAAGAACAAATGAATCCTATCTTGCTACACTATCAATCAGCCCAGTGGTCTGCAAAGATAACTTTTTTCCCAAGCCTCCAACATAGGAGCAAGGACAGAACCCCCACCCAAACACTTCTCCTCTTAAAACACCGGACCCCTGCGACAGCAGAGAAGATCCAAACCAAGAACTCTTGAACAGGAGAAATGCAAATGTCTCCAGTGCTTCTCATGCTCAAACATAACGGGATTTGTTTTCAACCCATAATTGAAGATAGGAGCAGCAATTTTACACACAATGGGACACACATGGAGCGGCACTCGTAAGCAACACAGCGTGAAGACCACAGGAAATACAGAGAGATCAAAGAGATGTGAATTAGATAGAAAGCGCAATACGCACCCACACGAGATTCCCGAAAATCAGTTGCAATTGCAGAGACTGTAATTCGCGGGAAACTTTGCAGAGAGTATGAAACAGAGAGAACAATATGACGAAGGAAGACCATCCAAAATGCGATCCTACATCATGCCAATATCAGCTTATCGCGCAAAAGGAATACGAAGCAGGACAGCCCTCACACAAAACCATAATTTCGGTTCGCGAATTCAACTGTCATCTGGTCACTCACACTTTGTAAGGATCAGCGTTCGTAAAACCCTCCGGCCTCGGAATAGGAACCAACACCTGCTCCAACACGGAAGACACAGCAAAAGTCACGATCGCGAAAGGAAAGGCCCGACTGACACAACCTCGGAGAAGCAAGCGAGAGGAGGGAGGGCAATCACCTCGCGATTGACGGCGAACACAGGGCAGTGGCGACCGATCACGTCTTGCCACGGCGACCTGTACTGATGGAATCGCCAAAAAAAAACGAAGCAAACGAATCGAACATCAAGAAAAAGAAAACAACACAAAAGGCAAAAGGAAACTCGTCGGCGGACAATGAACAGAGCACGATTTCCAACACAATCTCCAGCGAGAACAAAGTTTCGAGAGAGCGTACGGAGTGGTACTGTCCCATCCTAGCCATGGGGACGATGTCGCCCGGCCTGTAGGCGACGCAGATCGAAGGAAGCAACGGCAACAGCAACAGCGAGATCAACGACGGCGAGCCGAATCCGGCGCCCCCTCCGACGGAGGTTCCTCCGCCGTGTCGTCCCATCGGTGCTCTTTCACCGGCGCTTGACTCGATTCTTCGAGCGCTCGTGGAGCTTGCGGAGAGCAGAAGTGGAAGAGCTATGGCGCTCTTCGATCTTCGCCAGGTCGACGGAGAAGGAAGGGACGGTGCTGATTCCAGCAGAGCAGGGCCCAGGCCCAAGCCCAATCTGTGCGGCCTTTGCCAAGTTGGGCTTGGGCTATTCATTAATGGAAGAGGAGCCCAGAAGGCCCACATGTCGAACCCAAAAGTCGCATGCTGAAAAGGACAGCGGAAATGACACGAGAGTTCATTTTTTTCGAACGAAAAATGTTTTCATTGAAAAGCGATACTGGCGATAAATTGTTGTTGATTATGTAAACATTTTTCCTTTGGTTAATTGTTCGAAGCGAAACAGGTAATAATTTTTGAGATGATCCCTGATTGGTGACCGATGTCTGATCTCATCTTTAATCTTTTAATTCGTTCGATATGATATTTGGATTACTTCTTAAATGTTTAATGTAGTCTTCTGTTTGATCAAACAAGAAGTCAAACGTCGTTTAAGAACTTGGAATATTCAATGCTGAGTTGGACTTTTGAAATGATGGGTAAATCGATACAAGAAGATGTGATCGTGAATTTTATTTTCTTATCCATCTTCTTTTTATAGAGGAAGGTTTATTCTTTTTCTGCTATCTATTTCTAAACTTTAATAGATTGAAGGGCATGTCAGCAAATTCAATTAACTCGAACAAATGAAAGGACCACATTGCACTTCTTAATATAGTCTAGAAATTACATCGAACATTTAGCAACTCATAAAATTCCAAAAATAACATTATACGTTAAGCCAAAGTTTAAGGATTAATTGTGTTGTTTATCAATAAGAAAAAAAATTAAAACCGTGTCAGATCGCACCCGTCTCGAGTTAAATCTTATTTGTGTCTTTTTAATTATGACGCACGCCGAATCAATTTATCGATTGAACTAGCAACCATGTCGATCGGCCTGCTGGTGACAGGCTGAGGCATTTTACAATTATTTGAACAATTACTTATATCAAACCCAATTAAAATAAATCGATAAATGGCGGGTTTCTCAAGCTCGTGTGATTTAAGTAACTGGGCAAGGCATCATTGAACTGAACTTCCCTTGCAAAGTTCAAAACAAGACGTGCCTCCTACGCCGTCTGTATGGGCCCTCTGCTTGAAAGCATCCAACCACGCTCTCCAGAATTGGCTCTTCATCAACTTATATCACTAAAGCAGACGTGATCTACACACACCTCCAACCTCTCCTCCTTCCCGTGCATGAAACCCTAGCTGATTTGCCGAGCACTGCCTTCCATGGCCTCAACTAGTAATCCTACTAGGAGACATCGGTCGGTGGCGGCGCCGCTTCCTTCCCCTATCCCCACGGCAAGAGGATCCCGGTCCGCTGCGGACGAGATCTTCTCGAGGTACCTCGAGGCCTCCCTGCGCGTCCCCGAGCTAGCCATGCCGCGGCCTCAGCATCCCCCTCGCCGAGCGCCGGAGGTCATCGATCTCGAGTCGCTCGTGCTGAGGGACGGGGCATCAGTGCACAGGCTCATGAGGTCCGCCAGAGAGTTTGGCGCGTTCCGGATCCGCGGGCACGGGGTCTCGGACGAGGCGTCACGGTTGTTGGTGAGGGAGGCCGAGAGGGTTTCGGAAGTCCTGGAGAAGAAGAAGGGCATCGACCTTCGTGAGGGAGGCGATTTCGCCGGAGAAGGGCGCGGTCGGGATAAGGAAGAGGTGATGATAATTTGCTTCAAGGGAAGAATAAGATGGGGACAACATTATGTCGAGGCCGAGACCTATCGAAACCTTAGGTAAACCAAAATCATTACAACTTCTACTATGCTTTGCATTCATTTTTTTTTCCAATGCCTTTTGTGATCATGATTCTTGGTTGGCCTTCAACTTTATCTGGGCATTAATAACTTGGAAATCAATATCGACGAGAGTCGTGAATTCTAGGTAAATATTCAAACATTCTTGGAGCAATGATCGCATGAATTGATCTAGAGATGTTTGCGGTGAATGAAAGGGATACAATCGTATTGAATCTTCATTTAGTCATGCAAGCATGCTTAGTATGCAGAACTATGTTTTGACAACGTATCCATATTAAAAACGCAATATAGTGTATGAAAATTTGTTGATACTACGTAGCAAAGAACCATGATAGAGTAAACATTATAATCGTTTTTCTGACAATCGATACACTTTGATCGGAGTCTAGTCAATTCTTCGATGAAAATACTAACAAGATGGGAACGACGTGTTGCGATGACGTGGCCTCCAAATAACCGGCCACTCACCCGCCATGTCAGCATTCGCTAGGAAATCCGTCGAAGTCCGGTCAAAAGATGCATAGATTGCGAAGAAGTAGTTATAGATGATGAGAACTAATCTCTGGAGCTATAGCTCAGAACCTTGTACGGCTACATTAACGTACTCCGAATGCCTCGTTACAGACGAGCGACCGGGGAGGTGACCAGCAAACTCGACGTGGTAGCGCAAGAAGTGAGCCAAGTTCTTTCAGAAAACCTGAGGGCGAAGCCTGATGAGCGTTTTGAAATGGTGGAACCAACCCTGTGCGTGTACGGACACGTCCATGATCGTCATATCATCGTACCCAGCCCAGACGCACAGCAAAGCCACAAGGTGGACGAACCTTTCAATTACGCTTTCAGCATGTACCTCCCCGTCGGGAAACACAGCGGGTTCTACCTCCGGACATCGCGTTCTCCTCCGTATGCTTTCCCTGCAAGCCCCAGCACAGTACTTGTCGCCTTAGGAGAACCGGTTGAGGTAAATATTTCGACCGTTGTTTCTTTCATTTTAATGCATGCATGCGATTCTCTAATCCTACTTCGCTTCTAACCGATGAAATGTGATTGTGCATGCATTTGACCCATTAGGTTTTCCCGTTGGATTCATGATTGAGTCTAATATATAGCATAGACTATATGTTTGTCATATATGTCGAATCGGCCCTGGACCGGCCTTCAAATTCCATCAGATTTATAGATACATGTTTTGTGACCGGGGACTACCTAACCCCCGGTGGGCTTTCCCATCATCGGAAAAAAAAACAAGAACTAACCACGACGTGGCCTCCGTGACTCTGCGAAATATGCTTCCAAGTTTTTAATGGACTCCGGCTGAATTGTGGAAACGCCTTATCACAATGCTTATACCATGTGATATGCTTATGAAATGAATTGTACGTGCTCTCTTGATGCATCTTCATCGACCGATGGGCAAACAACATAAGGTGCCAAAGACTGACTAGGTTTTTTCTCTTTTCGTTTCGGTTCATGCATTGGTAACAGGAATGGAGCGATGGAGAACTCAGATCTGCTTCATGGGAACCCATGTTTGGTCACTCGCATGGGACTGATCATGACGATCATATCCAAAACGATGGAGCTGAGACGTTCTTCTCCTTGGAGTATAAGTGCTCGCCTCCTTGGTTGAATCCAAGTCGCGACACAACTCAAATGGTGGTCTCCATTTGCGATCAGATCCTAATCGCCCTTTTCCTCGCGTGCCTGATCTATTCTCTCGCATTCCTATTTTCATCAGGTGCGGCACGCTGAAAGAACGGGGATCCTAATGAGTACTCGACTCGCTCAAGACATTCGAGATCATGACACGCCACTCTGGAAAGTTTAAGGACGACGATCCATGTATGTGTCGTGCACGGCACATGCATATATAACATATAGTTTGCTCATGATCACTACTAAATGCTCCTATTGGTAATGTTGTGTGCATTTCCTCTGGATACGTACAATGTTAAGGTAAAAGAAAGGCGAATATGATAAGAGTATGTGATGCATCAATCCATTTTGCTCCTTGCTTCGTTGCTACTATATACTGTTTCATAAACGAAGCCCAATTCTAGGCGATACCTCATAGACCCTAAGTTGTACGGAAGATAATTAACGATCAAAACTGTACATATTTTGTAATTATTGTTCACAAATTCCACATTCTCCACCGTTGACGTGGGTAATAGTTGCTTGCAAAAAGTGAAACTACCAATATCAACGGTTATAAATGTTCCACGGGTAAAACTTTTGTTACACAACTTGTTCATTGAACAATCAATTAATCGGTACGACTGGCTCTGCCGGTGGGAGTGCACTCGCGAGATTGTGTTACCATAGGCTTTTACTGATTGATTCGAGGCTCTAAGTCGGAGCACGTTCTAATTAACTTCAAAAGAAAGCAAAGTAGATGCTAATGCTTAAACCTAACCGTAAGGTTTCGATATCCCGAGCAGGTATGGGTCGCTTGAACTCGACCCGGAACTAATCGGATAGGACCATCACTTGATGAATCAAACAATTCGAATTTCAGAACTTCCCATCACTCGAGGGTCGATCTTGATTTGCATCGAAGCGATCCTCTGAACCTAAATCCCATGCCCAAGAAAGTGATCGCCAAAGCCCCACTATCAATCACAGTCCACTACACTATCAACGAGCATTGAAGCTAACAAATAGAAATTTTAGAAACTCCATGGCTCCGTTTGTTTCATGAAAAATTCGACATTTCTGAAAATGTTTTTCAAGAAGCCATCTTCCAAGGAAAATGGCAATATTTTCCGGTGTTTTTGCGCTTGACCAATGACTATCGTTTCTTTTTTAACCCTACATAACGACCGGTACGCGCGTGCACAATTTTGAACATTGTTAGCGAGTTCCAATGTGCTGATAAAGGCTTAGAACACATGATTACCCACCTAATCTTGCGTAATCTCTTGATGGCCCAAAGCACCTTTTTGGCCCCTGATTGTCGTCGACTCTTTTACCTCTCAACACAAAACCCAATTTCAAGATACTTGTGCTCCGTGCGGTTTCGGTTGGGAAGTCGCAATTAGTGACCCCACCCCACGGCCGAAAATGCTGCAAATGTGAAGGGAACGACCAAAAGATTAGGGAAAAGATTTTACACCGACCAAGGGACGATTAGTGATTGGTTGCCCCTTGTTTCACGGCAAAAAGGAAAACGAGATTTCTCTTGGGTGGTGGTTGTCACAGTCATTCATCTTGCGATTTCCTCCATAGAAATGAGAACATGTACTTGCTCTCCCGCAAACTTGCGCGCATCCGTCGCACGCGCTAACGAAAAAAGAACGGCGAAGAATTAACAGCCGTAATGAGATAAGAGTTCATTCTTTGAAACTATTATCTTTTACTTTCGGGACATTACAACCGGTTTAAGACCTAGAAATCATGTACAAATATGATACGATAGTACCCGTTTTCAACACCAAGGGTGTGTTTATTTTAGTGAAAGTGTTTTCCCGGAAAATATTTTCTAGATTTTCATTCGTTTGGTTTTCCGAAAATGATTTGGTCAAAAGAAAATACTTTTCGGTCAACACAAATATCATGTTTTATTTTAGGAAAATGAATTCCCTTATCTAAAAAGGTGAAAACACTTTTCGGAACTGCCCATCTTGAATTTATTAATATTTTTTCTTTTCTTTACTTTATTTTTTTTCTTTTCTTTTCTTTCTAAAAAGGAAAACATTTGTGTATTTTCTTTTCTTAATAACAAATAATTTGAAATAATTTAAAAAATACAAAATTTTTTGATAATTTTCACCGTCAGGTTTTCCTTACCAAACAACTGAAAATACTTTCCAAGTCTTTTTTAGGTTTTACTCATTTTCCTGAAAAATGATTTTTCAAAAAATATTTTTCAAAAATTATATGTTTTTCGTGAATCTCAAATTTACAAATGCCCACGTCGGGTTATATCACCGACGGATCGTTCCCATCGACGGATCGATCGATCGATCGATGGGCAAAGATCTACGTGATCTCCACCGAATGCGAGAGAGAGGGGGGTCCGCTGTGGTTACGTCTTTTTCGTGTTTGTTGCGTGGCGTGGAGAGAAAAATTAACTAAAAAGGGCGGTGCAGCGTAAGGACAAAAGAAGCGGGATGCAGACACATTTCACATGGGGCCCCACGTATAAATTTCCTAAATCTAACATGTTTGTCCTGCGCTCGTGTACATTTGACTCTCTCCCTCAAAAGCTTGGATCCTACAAAGATCTTGTGTCCCCCCCGCCCCCCCGCCCCCCCAACCCTCAGAGCACGTGCACTTTATCCTCGCTCGCATCGCTCGGGAGGAGTCTTTTAAGGGTGCGAATGTAGCGAATTCTATTCCGCTCCGAAATCAAATGCTGTAATCGATTTTAATTCTGCGAATCGATTTACGGAGGAAAATCGTTTGGTAAACATGATTAGTTACCAGAAATTGATTTCAGAGCAATCTGCTTTTGATTTGTTGATTTTTTTGCACCTAAAAAATTAAAATTTTACTCAGTGGATGGCGCATGTATTATAAGCCATTCTCAGTAAAGTTTTGAAATTTTTGATTTTTTTAATTTTTTGGGCACCTAAAAAATTTAAATTTCACTCAAAGTGGACAGTATTCTAATCCATTTGCGAAGTTTTGAATTTTTTATTTTTTATTTTTTTGGGCACCTCAAAAATTTAAATTTTACTCAAAGTGGGTACTACGATATTTTAAGCCATTCTGTGAAATTTTGAAATTTTATTTTTATTTTTTTATTTTTTTGGGCACCTCGAAAAATTTAAATTTCACTCAAAGTGGGTGCATGGTATTTTAAGCAATTTTTGAAGTTTTGAAAATTTTTATTATTTTATTATTTTTATTTTTTTGGGCACCTCAAAAATTAAATTTCACTCAAAGAGCACATGCGGTATTTTAAGCCATTTTGTGAAGTTTTGAAATTTTTGATTTTTTTGAGCACCTAAAAAATTTAAATTTCACTCAAAGTGGGTGGCTACATGTGTTTTAAGCTATTCTGAAGTTTTGAAATTTTTTATTTTTTTATTTTAAAAAAAATTCACCAAATTTCATATTTTCCCAAAATCTGACTTTTTTTTATTTTCTGGAAATTTTTATGAATTTTTATAGAATTTTTCAATTTTTATGCATTTTATGAAAAAAAAATTGTGAAAAAATAGAGAACGCATTCGAATCGAAAGCTACAAAAAGTAGCTTCTCTTTCTTGCCAAAACTCATTCCGGAATCAAAAATACATTCGGAATCAAGAATACATTCGGAATCAAGTATTTTTAACAAACGCATTTTTATTCCAGGAACGCAAAAATCGCTCCGTAATGCATTCCGGAAATTTTTTAACAAACGCCATTCTGTTTCGGAATGCATTCCGAATGAATTTTATTCCGGAATGTATTCCATGCGCACCCTAAGAGTCGCCCGTTGCTTCCCGAGAGTTCAAGGATTTTTATGGGGGGGAGTAGACACATTTTAGGCGAGAAAATTATCCGAAAGGTTCTAAACATACTGTACTTTTGTTAGTTCAATTCTAAATTTTATAATTTTATCAATCGAGTCTCAAATATTTTCACATTTTATCAATTGAGCCCATCTCGCCCGAAGCATTTTTTTGGGAATGCGCTCACGGGAGGAGTCTTTATAAGAATTACTCATTACTTCCCGAGAGTTTTTATTTATCTTCATGGGGAGTAGACACATACGAGGCATTTTTTTAAGGGGGGGAAAATTGTCTAAAAAGTCGTAAATTTATTGTACGGCGGCTAATTCGATTCTAAATCTTTTAATTGTGTCAATTTAGTTCTAAACTCTTTATTGGTGCCAATGTAGTCCTAAATCTTTTGACATTTTAGTTATATACCCTTTGACAATTTGCCAACGTAGTCCTCCTGGACAATTTTCTAGATGATAGGTTTATGACTGAGATGATAAATTTTTAAAAGGATTAGGATTAAAGTGACAAATCGAAAGGTTCAAGACTAAATTGGTAAATCGTTAAAAGGTTTTGTTGTGTTAGCCGCGGATTCTCTTCTCTGTCCATGTTGGGACGGCGCGGTAAAAGCCCCGACGCTTTCGTCCAGAACATCACCGGAAGGGGGCTCGAGTGTCCGGGTTCGATAACATGTCCAATTAGGCCTATGTTCCCTCAAAAAGTTTTAGCATTGAATAGTAAGCTAGAAAAGACTAATCGGAGTGGGGGAGGGGATTTTTGTAATGCATATATGTACGCGAGAGAGTATTCAATGTCGAGCAAAACCCAGAATCTACGCATCCATGTCCCTTTGACTACGCAAGTTTCCCCTTGCTGCCCGCCGACACACACCCAACTACTGACTCTCCACGTGCACCACGAAATAGAAGAGTGGAGGAGGAGACGAAGGAGAAGAGTGATTCCAAGCACAACATAGCCCATAGGAACCATGAGGATTTAGGTTGCAAAACTTATTGACTAAGGAGGCTTAAATTGCACAAATCAGATGGGACGATGGGATCTATTCCGAAATTTTACTTACACTAGAGATGCCGAGTTCAATATTTTCCGAGGGTCGCTATCGAACCACTAACGGGTAGGTTCATCATAAACTGAGATTGAAATGTGATGGATCTCGGATGTTCAATAGGTCTCGGCCTGAGTGATTGTTATTTTTTTACTTTTCTGATCCAATGGTGAAAAGTCCAGGAGATACGTTACCTCTTGAAGACCGTAGCATCACCTTAGAAAATTGAGTCCATATTGGAATTTCCTTGGGGCGGCGTTATGGGAGCAAGCTTAGAGCGCTCAAAAACTCCTTTTATGTCTCACGCCAATATTACGGAATCAACTTCTTTTCACCTGTACTCTCCGTCCTCCTACACGAGATGCTATGCATGGATGGACTCATTATAATTATGCCATATTCACTCTAAAGTCCACCAAAACAAAAGATCTAGATGCATTGGTCTCACATGGGCAGACATGTAAAAAACTTTACAAAATTGAATAGCTATAACGAAAAGCAAGACGAGATGGACTGAGAAGGTGCATGTACCATGTCTTGATAAGGTGAACACTTATGATTCTAATCCAGTAGAGACCTTGACCACAAATTGTGTGCATTTTTTGGCTATGAGCACCCCATGTTTGACCTTGGACGGAGCCATTAACTTGACCACATTTTTCTAGGATTCCAATTCTAGCTTAGTCAGCTAACTCCCCGCATATTTGCTGCACATACTATACCTTTCTGTTCGATTAATACCAGGGTGTTAGAGATTCTTTCAAAACACGAAGCCGTATTGAGTTTTGATTGAGCATGAACACGAAGTCGTACTGAGTTTTGATTGAGCATAACCGTCTGTCCGTCACACATTGAGGCCAATTGGCAGAGCATCGTGCTCTTAGGGACATATTTGTGATTATGGGTAAGCGCGGGGATTTAAATTGGCATATCGAACATTAATAAAAACGACCATGCTTATTAATTGTGGATGTTTGTTGTCCGGAACTCTGTCATTTTCCGTTAACGCGGGCGAGAAAAAAAAATGGCCTGAAGACAAAGGGAAAGTGTATCTAAGCCATTAGTCTAAACAGCCATGTCTAAATAGGAACAGAAATCCTAGTTTTGTTTCCATATGGTCTAAGGTTTTTTGCCCTAATAGAATAGCATTATCACCGTTGTTTGAAGACTGTTGCTGCCCTGTCTCTTTGCTTAAAACCTGCCTCGGGAAATGATTAGCAATCCCATTCATGCCATGCCACAAGAAGTTAAAAACGAAAAGAAAGACGAGAGAACGTTGTTTGTGAATATGCATTTGGTTAGTTTGCGCGCTGTCCCGAAGATACCGTGCCACGCCAGGAAATCAGGGATTGAGACTGAACGTGTACAAAACTCGATGGATTTGAGCGGCAAGACCGACCGAGGATCTTGTGTCTTTAGAAGCCTAAAGTCTCTCGGGATCAATTTCTACTTGGCCCGACCACTAGAGATTTTGCCTCTAGAAACCAGATTCCGAGGTGGACGGCTTCCCCTTATGATTGGATTGCAAAGATGGAGCTGAGGCTACTTGATCGATCAAAAGATTCAAATCCGAGTGGGGACGATTTCTTATATAATACTCGACCGTTTAAATAGAGCAAAACTCGAGCACACCCGAGAAGCGCCCTCTAACAAAGTGCATTCCCTCGTTCTCCAATTCGCAAACTCGTATTATTCCATAGCAATACTCCACTAGAAAACATGGCAGGAACTCGTATAAGACGGACACATCACTTAATTGAAACACAATTCCCCCCCTAAACAAGTGGATCATATTAGTACCTGATCAGATTCTATCACATCACTTATGCTGGATACACACCAACTATATACACCCATATATCCATGATTGGGCAATGACTCGTAAAGCAATTGGATGATTGCCCCGTCAAGGAAAAAAGGGGGGAAATGGCAATAATGTCGAAAACTTTCTATCCTTTTGTGGCTGACTAGCACGCCGTGGAACATAAAAATCAATCAAGCACATGAAGTTTTGTCCAGGAAAGAGAGGACAGTCGAGGAAGAAAAGGACTTCACTTTCCAAGTTTCTGAAAAAGAAAAAGAGAAAAAAAAATAACTCTTTTCTTCTTGCGCCATTTCACCATGAAATCTAACCTTTTACTGCGTGGGGATCTCTCCTCCTATAGTCGCAGGGGCTATCGGACAGGGAATCTAGGACACCGTCACCTTTTTCTTACGCGAGGGGAAAGTGTTTATATATGTGCTGTGGTTTTGAAAATCTCGCGTTGCGACTTTTGAAGTTCTCCAAGCAACTTCAACTTTTTGCCAAAAAAAAAAGAAGAAGAACAACAAATAATTTGAAAACCAACGCACTTTAGGTAAAGTTGCTGGAATTTGAATTTTGGGCACCCATCTGATCATCCTCCAATCGCCTTTTGTTCAAACTTTGTCCAATCTTTTCGGCGAATTATGTTATTTTCACGTTTTTACGATATTACAAAAAAAAAAAAGCGTCGATACCCTTAAAAATCTTAAATCGGTACACTGATACCACGTAAACTCTAAACTAATTTCATGCCACAAAACAAAAATCCAAAATTGATATGCCCATAACAAATCTATTGAATATTAGGGCGAAGTTGGGGGCAAAACTAAGGACTTGGTCAGATTTTTGAAACGTTAGGGAGCGCCAAGGGCAAAGTTAACGGATTTTTAACATAGTTTCCAATCTCGGTTCATTTTCTTCGGATTTGGCTTGCCTAACAACGATGTAGCTCATACGACTTGCTCATGTTGAATTTCCGTGTCGGATTCACATCACACGTCCAATCATCCGAGTCCCTTGTCAAGATTGTCTCCACGTCAGCAATTCAGCGGGAATTAACGAAGCGCAAATTTGTCACTGTTCATATCGAGATACTTCGTGACACGAAAATGGATCCGGGGGCAAATGACGGGGCACGGACAGTATCGGTTTTAAATTTTTGCGGGTACCAACCAAATAAAAACAAAACTGTACAACATGAGCTTTCTATCTCTTCATGATGCGATATTAGTGGGGGGAGGATTCGGGCTCTATCTTATCAATCGGAAGGCCGAGTACACTACAAACACACACACACATATAGCCTTGATAGAAGGAGCAGAGTTAACTTTCCCTCCTTCTCTCCTTTTCTCGTGCTTTTTGGCTGGTGGAACAGCAGAGGCCTTTCGATTTCGAGAGAATGGCAATAAAGCTGCTGCTCCTCTTGTACTTAAAGTTCGTATTCTTTTGCAGTCTGAGAAACCCCCCCTAAAAAAAAGGGACAAAAAAATAAAGGGGTGCTTCCCATAAATAATAGTGCGTTCGCAAATCTAGGAATTGGTGTGAGTGGGGACCCGTCATTTACATGCACATGCACATTTGCGTATTAAGCAGGGAACAAATGAAGGGGTCGCGTCCAATAGCCAAACTAGGGAAAGAAAATAAAGAATTTCTAATTAGGACCCAAAAAAAGACAAAAAAAATAAAATAGAGATGTTATGTCGATAATGACTATTGCAAGCATGTTCATTATCTTTTATGATCACGATAATTCACGAGCGTTCTATCGTTGAAGTTCATAATTTACGGTTAAGTACACAAGCCTATGATAGATATGAAGATGGTCGTGCGTAGTTTACGGGGCTGGGGTACGATATATGATATATCGAAATGCTTTAGTCGGCATGAGAAAATGGAGATTTTTTTTTTTTATATTGAGCAGTTTTAGACGGTCTTAAAGATATAATGCCTTTATCCCTCCAAACCAATCAATTTATGTGAAATATTATCGATGGAAAATGGTTAGGTAGCTCGTGACATAAGACATACCATGATTGACAAGAGTGAATGGCAAGAGTTTCTACCTATGGAAAAAAAAGAAACAAAGAATAAGGATTTTCATTTGAGGGTTTGCTTGGCCAAAGGAGGTTTAACATTTGGAGAATATTAAAAAAAAAAAATTCGATTTGTAACGTGGTTGGATGAAATTATTTGGTCTTTGGGGCGGGCCCCACCATCGCTCTTTTGAGGCAAAGGAGTCTTGTTTCCTTACGTCCTGCTATGCAATCTGGTGTTGACACTAGAAAACTCCCATCATTGCTCCCAAAAAAGATATTATTAAAATTCCACGCGCACCAATCATTCACATATAATTGGACATGGACGACCAATCTCACACCTTCAACAAAAAAAGGAGAAGAAAAAAACGACAAGACAAGAGCAAGAAAGCAGGGCTGATTATTCAAATTAAAACCAAATGTGTTTCAAATGGTACTTCACTACCTAATTTGATTTCCTTGATTATATTGTTAGCGTGTTTCCCGCAAAAAGTTACATGGACATCTGGTCTTGGACATGACCGGTTAACCAAATGATGTAGCGGATCATGTGCACGATCCTTGCGAAAGCGACGGTGCGGTATTGGGAAGTTTTGATTTTGACATTGAGAGGGGCACGGGCGTAGAAGCCCGGGTACCTAAAGGTCCACGAAACATCGTGCAAATCTCGTGAGCTGGTTGATTTGAAACCTTAACCTGGACACAGATGGTCCCGACTCAAAGCAGCACCTACGTAATTTGTGGGATTTGGAGAGACGGCTCTCGATATCCGAGCTTCATATCTCTTGGCACATCGACGAGTTCCTGGCTTTGATTCATACTACGTGTGAACCAAAATGGATTCGACAAATGGAGAAAATAGGAAAGAAAATTCGACTGTAACGGAAAAAAATGAAGAAGAAATTTTTGCTCAAAGGAACTCTCTATGAACAATGTGAGCTTCTATTGGAAGAGGGCTAATATATACCGGTGATAATCATATTAGAACTAGACATTAGGTTAAAGAAGAGTCAACGTATACAAGAGTCATCATCATCGCCACTTCTTGAATCTAATAAGAAGTGGTGTCACTTCAGGCGAGTGCAATTCAGGTCGAACCAGATTTGCTTGAAGACCTTGATGATGAGATCGTGGTACTCGTCCGAATTCAGCGACAGGTAGCAAGCCAGGAGCTCCTCCAGGTCCTTGGACGCCCTGATGTCGTTCTCCACGATCATCTCCATCATCGAGTCCCTGAAGTCGCTCTGCGGATCGACCGACGACTTCATGACGGCGAAGCTGTCCGACACGCTCCGCCTCCTCCTGTTCGACGGCGACGGCGACGACGCGCTCTTCCGGCCGGGGCGGTGGTGGTGGTGGGTGCCCTGGCTCTGGGCCCTCTTGGTGCTCGCTAGCCTCGGGGAGTTGATTCTCAGCTTCACCCCTGGCGAGCTCACTGAGAACGACCTCCTGGCCTTGCTGTGTTCCTGCACCGTGAGTCGCTCCGCCTTCACGACTCTGACCGTGAGCTGCGACGTCGTCCGGCCCTCCGTCGGCTCGTGGGTATCTCTGTTCTTCATATTCTTGACCATGTCACTGAAGTTCGCAGGCTTCGTCAGGATTGGGGGAAGCTCGACCTCTGTCGACACTGACTCGCACCCATCTGGGCTCTTCGCTTGCTTCCTGTCAGTCGACTCGTCGGAGTCGAGCACCCTGCATCGGCACGAGGAGCTGGACCAGGACACCATCTGGTCGAACGACCGGTGCGCGACGACCCCGCCGCCGCACGACTCGGGGCTCAGCTGGGGCAGAGCATCGGACACTGGGAGGAGCTCTTCCGAGTCGGAGGCGGTGGAGGCGTCGGACGGAGGCGAAGTGGAGCACTCGGGCACCGGCTCGGGCTTGGTCCAGAACGAGCCGAGCGTGGCGGTGGCGCGGCAGCTGCAGCCGGCGGAGACGGAGGAGGCGACGAGCCTCGGGGACGAGCGGCGGGCTCTGCGCGGCGGCCGCCTCTGCTTGGCCGACTTCCTCGGGGGGCTGGGGAAATGGTGGTGGGGGTGGGGAGGGGTGAGCTCCCTGGCGAAGTGGTAGGACTTCCTGGGATGGGGCGGGTCCGGAAGCGGGTTCGACTTGGAACCGGAGGAGTGGGGCGGCGTGGCGGAGGAGGAGGACGGCGACTGCTTCTTCTTGGTCGGAGGAGGGAGCTGGTGGTGATGATGATGAGCTCTTGATGATTTGGTCCTACTGTTCATGTCCCTGAGCTTGTGCAGCCAGGAATTGGGGATCATGTCTGACAATCTGAACCTGTAATTCCCCATCTCTCTCCTTCTCCTTCTCTCCCTCTCTCTCTCTCTCTCAAGAACTCGCTGTTTCTTCTGCGTGCATGTGCAGAAGAGGCTGAGGAATATGACTGATGCTGTGCCTTTTCTGTCTGTTCTGCGCTGCGAGCTGTAGTGAGGGACTGAACCGAGGATAAATAAAGGGTGAACTAGATGGATTGGGGGAGTGGGTGAGAGTCCCCTACAATTAAAAGCCTAGAAATTACTAGAAATTTACATGAAGTTTTGATTTTTTCTCTCTCTCTTTAGATGAACGGACGAACTATATTTGTTATGATAATTACTTAGTATTAATATGACGATGGCGTCAACATAAATTTTTTTTTTTTTATTCTTGTGGGGGAGTGGGGGGGTCCACAGGGGAGGAAAAATTTGGCCCAAAAAGAGTGGGGCCCTTGTCAATATGTTTATACTGTTCATAGTCGTACTCATTGTCCGGTTCAAAATCTGCTTTAGGGCTTTCATAATTGGAAGTTTACAAGTTTTAACAATTTTTTTCCTGTAAAGTTAGGGGATTAGTCAATAATATCCAGCAATACAACTGGAATTCTTCCTATAACTATCTTCCTTTTTATCTGTGTTATCTATTTTCTGTGATTACATCTTGGGATCGCCTCGAGATCAAGACCCAAACGTTTCGATTTGAAGGTTAATGTAGGGGTAGGAGATCGTAGACGACGCGAGAGCAAGGGCAATGCGCGTGAAAGGCGTGCCCGGAGGACCTCGAGATCATGACTCGTGAATCATGCAAGCGAAAGACAAATCTTGGCAATTGATCGTGCGGTTTCCACAATAGTATTCACGTGATTGGTGGTTCAGATGGGTTGGGGCTACGCTGCTGAAAAATAATATGCTATGTTGCCCTGATAGACGACTGGAATGACGAAATTATTCCAACTTTTCCTGATTGATGAAAAGTAAGGCGATTCGGAATTTCAGGGAAAGGCCTCGGCGAAAAAGGCTTAAAAGAGCAAAAGACAGGAAAGGAAAACGGTCGTCCATGTTTTAACAACAGGCAATGTCCACTAACTTGTAAATCAAGAAGTGGTCCAACGACAAGATGTGCGCCAAATGAATGTTTTGCTCGCAAAGGAAAGGAAGAAGCTTACATCGAGTATCTCTGAAATGACTATTCAGTGATTGCCTGAAGAAGAAAACGAGAGAGATGACCGATTGTCTTCTCCGCCATACGAGCCGAGGAACCGGCCTTTCCTCGCATGCGTCCATTTTTTCCCGGGGGCCGAATGTTAGAAGGGGAATCGGGCATCGAGCTGATAACGATATCTGTTCACGGACCGGCTCTCTCCCTTACCGTGCTCATAACTAACTCCAAATTGGGCGAATTCGTCGCTAGAGACTGAACCGTCCTTCTCGGCCCCGTGGTCCCTATTTTCAGGAATTTTCCATGTACAGGAACTAGAAAGATACAAAAAGGGGGAATGAGCATGTTCCACTCTCCTCTGAAGCGTGGGGCAATGGGGGACCAAAGGACGAATTTAATGAAACGATGGGGGGGCTTCTCCTACTGGTGGTGCTCTATGACGAACTTAGTTCTTGTCTCGGCGTGACAGGGAAAAGAGCTACGAGACCCCTCTCAGTCCACAACCCGTGTGGAAATTTGCACTGGGAAACGTACGCTTTCCGGTGGGGTTTTGCTGTTGACGTTTGCCCCAGGGGGCTGAAACGTTAACACCACCAACGTCAATATTTCATGAGCTTCTTCCGAGGTCGTGTTTTGGCCACGACCTTGAACTAACGTCTTGATCGTCCTGGGAAGGGGAACAAAAGCATGTGGCCCCTCTTCATGATTTACAGTTCGATTCGACGGGTAACATTGCAATGGGGCGATAGTGAGATCCATCCAGCTGCACGCCCTATAAATGACGGCCGTATTGTCGTGTCGATTAGTGTTTCGTAAGAGGAGAGAAACAGGAGAGTCACTCGATTGCACGAGCTTCGTGCACTCGACCGACAAAGAGTTTGTAGAGCGATTGAACTGACAGAATTCGAGCATGGAGTCCGAAATTGGATAAGTCATTTGAGGCTATTTCCCTCCCGAGATATCACATTCGTCTGTCTCTAAGTTTGCCCCAATATCTTCTAGCCTTATATCATGTGCCCAGTTTGGACGGAACCATAGAATCATGCTGCTCAATTTGCAATTAATTCTTCGTTTTCTATTTATCTTGCTTATATAGCATTCTGTTTCTTGTAATGTTGTGGAAGCAAGCAATTGGTATTAGAGTTAGGCTTGACTGAGCTAAAGCGAATCGATTGCGACATAAGAAAGGAAAGTGAGAATCGACAAATTTGAAGAGAATGATTTTAGTTTCTAGAAGATGCAGATTGATGATTATTTGTATAAGAGGAATCTACACTTACTCATGTCTGTGAAGAAACGAGAGTCGATGAAGCAAGCTTAATGGGAATTACTAGATAGACAAGCTTTAGGTGTTATTCAGCTGACATTGGCTCATAATGTCGCTTTTAATATCGTGAAAGAGAGGATCACTGCAAGTTTGATGAAACCTTGTTGAACATGTACGAGAAGCCCTTTACTGTGATCAACAAGATCTACTTAATCCGATGTCTCTTTAACTTAAAGATGGGCGATTGTGCGTTAGTTGCTTATCATATCAATGAATTTATTGTGGTTGTTAGTCAATTGAGTTCAGTTGAGACTGACTTTGAAGATGAGGTACGTGTTTTGATTCTATTATCCTTATTACTTGATAGTTAGAATACCCCTGTTTGTGCTATTAGTAATTCCTCTAGGTCAACGGGCTTGACGTTTGATGGGGCTCAAAATTTAATTCTAAGTGAGAACATTCATAGAAAAGAATCTGGTGAACTTGTGCCTATTGCTTTAGTAGGTGAAAGAAGAGGAAGAACTTGTACACGTGTTAGCAAGAGTAGTATAAACTTGAACAGACGAAATCAATCTAGGACTGGTGGTGCTATCTGTTGAAGTTGTGGCAAGAGGGAGCATTTTAAAAGAGATTGCCTTAAGTTAAAGAAAGAGAAGGGTAAGGAAATAAGGGTTGAGTCTGCTGATGATGCTACTGCTGTAGTTAACTATAATTCGGATAGTGTTGATTATGTCTTGTCTGTCACTGAGAATTTGTCGTTTGACGGATGTAATATAAACTCTGGTTGTTCATTTCATGCTACACCAAATAGAAACTAGTTTACTATTTATCAATGCATGAATATTAGTAAAGTGCAGTTGGGGAACAACGCTGAGTGCGATATTGTGGGTGTTGGTGATATTATAATCAGAATGCATTATGGTATCATGAAGACATTGACCGGAGTGAGCTATGTTTCAAAATTGAAGAAGAACATAATTTACTTGAGTTTCCTAAATTCAGTTAGGTGTCGGTATACCTCATAAAGTGGAATTCGAAAAATCGTTCGAGGTGCCCTGGTTATAATGAAAGGAATTAAGCATTGTGGCATGTATGAGCTTCAAGATGAGACAATGACAGATTTCACCACAGAGACATCGGATGCATCTATTTGAGAGTTTGAATTGTGGTGTATGCGCTTGGGCGCATATTAGCGAGAGAAGTCTGAATGTTCTAAATGAAAGAAATCTTTTGTGTGGTTATATTTCTGACGAACTGAATATATGTCGGTGTTGTGACTTAGGTAAACGATGGAAAGTGCAGTTCGGTACGACTGTCAGAGAGTCCATAGTGATTGCATAGTTGATTCATTTGGATGTTCACAGGCTATCGTGGTTTCCTTAGAAGAATAGTGCCATATTTATGCTAACAGTTGTGGATAACTACTCAAAGAAGATTTTGGTTTTTGTATTCAGGCATAAGTTTGATGTTGTTGTCAGGATTAGGCAATTGAGAACTATGGTCGAAAAGAAGATTGGTAAGACGATCAAGTATGTACGGACAGATTGTAGCATGGAGTTCTACTCGGAGCTGTTAAACAAATTCTGCATGAAAGAATGCATAGTAAAACATCACACTAGTGACAATAAACCATAGCATGTTGCAAAGTTGATAAGCTGAACAATAGTAGAGATGACCCATAAAATGATCAACTGCAATTGAATGTCGAACTCCCGAAAAAATGTGGTCATACAACGTTGCTGATTATTTGATTGCCCATATTATATTTGAGTGAGTGATGGTAAGCTTGTTGGGAGCGCAAGAAATTGTATGTTTTTAGGCAATGCACAAGATGAGCGGGATTATCGGTTACAGTAATCGGAATTAAATTCACCTGCTGTTAGTAGAGAAGTCACATTTGACAAATCTCCAGTACTTTTGAATATGAGTGTTATTGGCAGTGTTCATATGGATCTAGATGGCGTTCAGCTCAAGGTAGAATTATGACCACAAACTCTCGAGATAGTAGGTACCAGTGAAGTAATCGAACAGATGGTGCTTGTAGCGAGGTGAGCCTGTAAAGCCATCAATTGCTGTAATTGCTGAGTGTGAAAATGTGCATGTATGGATGCCACGATGGTTTTGGTTTATTTATGGTAGATATGGTTATGTCGGAAATTTCTTGTGAAGCAGTTAAAGGTACAGGTGGAGTTGGTGGTCTAATGAGATCCACAATTATGGCAAAGTTCCAATGAGACTTGGACTTGAAAGATGTTTGTGGTGGTTGATCCCATGAGGGGCTGTGAGAGAATAGCAGTGAAGTTCGGATTCCAGCGAAGCAATTATGACAGCTCAAACGTTGAGCCAAAGTAGAAATTGTTGAAAATGTATCTCGTGATTGTTGAAAATGGTAAGCTCCTAATCCAACTTGGTTTCCTAGTTGAAGAAATTTCGTATTTTGGATCCAAATCTTGCCTATATATATAAAAAAGTGTCTTCACCGTGAAGAGCATTCAAGAGGCTACTTCTATGTGAATTTATACCCTGAGAGCTTTTAGTGTGGAAGTCAATTAAATCTTGTGAATAAGCTTTGTGCATTCCTTCATGAGATTGAGAGGTTATTTTGTGAGAAATTACCAATTAAATCTTGTGAGTAAGATTTGTGAATTCCTTTATGAGATTAAGAGATTATTTCGTGAGAAATTGTGAAGCTAAACACTATTGAATGAAGACGAATTATTGGGTGTAATTTGGGGCTTGAAAACACCGAGAGTGTTTGAGTGTGGTTGTAATCTTTATTGTGTCGCTTGATCTATAGTGGAATTTTTTGCAGCTCTTCCTGAGTGCGTAGGTCACATTCACCAAATCACGTATTTATGGTGTCCGATTTATTTCCTAGTTTTGTTTAACTTGTTGTTCGATTGCCAATTTCCGCAACATGTAAGATATTTTGGCCTTCATAAAGCGAGACTTTCTCTATTTGAGATTTGAGCATGTCTTCATTCATTTGAATGGAGGAGGGATCGAAATTCGTCTTTTCTGCCCTCGCTTTTACTGCATTAAAGATGGAACAATCGCAACAAAGCAGGCGAGCATCTCTAAAGAAGATGGAGAGGTGCAAAGACTCGTGGTTGGCCAATATCATCACCTAGAATATACGGCCAATATCTTTACCTAGAATATACGGCCTATACCATTACCTAGAATTCATCACATTCATGAGGAACACAATGCCGCTACGTGATGTCCTAGAAATGAGAATGACAGCAACTTACAGGAATTGCTGATTCACTTCAGTGACAGTGAGTGGCATCGGACATACTCAAATCTTTGCGCGCCTTGTTCATCTGTTTTATTAGGAGACATCTGAGCAGCCATGACGTTCAGACTTCAGGTTGATTTCCGGGGATTCTGAATTCGAAATTTTTTCTTGCTTCGCTCAGGATCGTGAATCTGTATTTGCTTCTCTAGCCTGTGTGTGTGCTTTGGACATTGACAATTATGCAGATGATAATAACTCCGCCGACGATTGTGCGATCCCCAAGTTATTCATCGAACATGATGAGAAATCTGCTGAAACTGTTGGTTGCAGAACAACATCGTGTAGTTAGGCTAATCATAGACATGTCCTTGTGAGAGGGCTGATCATTTGAGGGTCCTGAAAGAGGAAAGATTCAAGCCACTTCCTGTGGATACACTGCAATTTCGATCAGAATGTCTAAAACAATGAACATATAAGGGCATGCCATTTCTTTGGCTAGAATTTGGACAGGGGCTTTGACAGAATGAGAACTTCGAATGGTTTTATAGAGTAAACAGCGATCGAAATTGAAATTTACCATGGGAAAGTGACTGCAAGTTGTTCGCCTGACTGCATAAGAACGTAAGTAAAGCTAGTCAATCATGTCACAGAGGAGACCGATGTGTTCCTCCGATTTATACCTGGAACTCTTCAAAGGGGTGCACTCCATTCTTGTCTAAGCATGAAACTGAGACTCTGAACAGAGCTTCAATTGATAGAAAAGAAGAATTGGGCGAACCACACTATATAAAAACCACTCTTGTTTTGGTTGATCTAGTTTTTGGTTGTAGTCTTGGAGATCCCATGAATGACTACATTGCCTTTGAGCCGATGTCATGGTTGATCTACAAGGGAATCTTGTTAATCTTTCTTCAAACAGCAATGCAACTTCACAAGGGCTCTGCGTGATGTGCTTCTTCGCAACTTCTATTTTTTGGTCCGAACTAGCTGCAAGTTAAGTTTTACATTTTGGGGTTGAAGTCAGCAGTAGAAAAATTCGCTCGTTAATTTCCAAGATCGTCCTTCATAAAGACACCGTCCAGGCAACGGTTCAATTTCAGAAATTGGATGGGCCTTTTAAAGCCCTGTACATAAGCTGTTGGTCTGTCAGACTATATGTACTCTCTCAATCTCAATACGCTCAAACAACCAAATTCTCGTTCGTGTACAAAATGCCATGCAAGTAACATTTGTGAAGACCACATTACGGTGATTTGGATGGAGGTTTATCTTTTTTGTCTGGTGACAGTGAGCTCTGATCTGACATGGCACCAGAACGACTGCAAAATGAGTAGTAAAACCTTGAATTGAGTCAGATTCTGCTCTCGCTTAGTTAACAATGCTATACTAAAGTAGAGAAAATAAAAATAGAATTCAAGATCGCGAGATTTTGTCTAGAAATGTCGTGCGAAGAACGTGCTTCTGCGAACTTGATCATGACTGCATGCTTGTCGCACGACTCGTGATATATACACGATCGTGAGTCCGGCCATAAGTTGGGCATGTCCAACCTTCTTTTGTCGACGGGCCCAGATGATGGTTTGTGGCATGTAATGTAAAGGAAAACTCCGCTGTTACGGCCAGCATTGTCAAGAAGATTTTCAAGATTTTTGAGTCGTTCTGGGCGGGCTTGAGCAGAGAGCGGAGCCTTTTGCGTGAGTCTGACCGATCGAATTCGGCCGTCGACATGGTCTACAATGTACGCAACAACAACGCAATGTTCCTTGTTCATCACTCTACAAGATCATCATCATTCAAGTCTAGAACAGAACTTTTAAATCTTCTTGGTCTTTCACTGAGTTTACACTAAAGTATATGAATCTCTTATGAACATGGCCGTGCCGAATTTGCGCAGCGCAAGAAAGAAAAAGAACGAAAGAATCAATGTATGAAGCGAATGGAAAGAATCGACGAAGAAATCGAAATCGCAACGCTCGCAAGCAGCATCAGCTGATCAAGTTGTTGGTGCGCTTGCTTGGGCCGGAAGGCGGGACTCTCCCCTTTGGAAGCGAATTCAGCAGCAAGAACTTGGCCTCCATCTTAACATCATCCCTGGATGACGAGGAACCGCTCCCCCTCCGAAAGGCGAGGTGCGAGGCCGGCTCGACAGCCACTTCGCTGCCGGCCGCCAGGAGCCTCGCGCTCGAAGCTCGGGACGCTAAAATCGCCACGAGCACCGCGACGACCAAGATCTCTTTCGAACCCATCACCGCACGTACGTCCCGAGAAGAAGCAGAAACTAAGTCGATGCGAGCGTGCGTCGGATTGTCCCGAGAGATTGTATGAATGTATCGATGGGCAAAGCTCGAAACCGGGTTCGCCATTATAAAGAGGATGACTTCAATTAATGACCCAACGCGGTAGCCTCTCTTGCACTAGCGGTTTCGCAGCCGTGCGTGTTGTTTGAAAGTCAAACGTCTACTGCTAAAAGTGCTCGTGTTGCGTTCCGGAAACTTTGACTTTTCGCCATTTCCACATTATCCTACAGCTGCGAAGTGACCGAGTCCTGCAGTTGACGGTGATCCCCGGTCGTACCCCCAACGCGGTCACTCCAGCTGCAATGGCGGTGCACGATGCAGCTTGCCAACTTGACCACGCATTTGTTGATTAAGATCTTGTTCGACTTATTATTGATCAGGCTTTGCTTTGACGAGCATCCAGTCTCCTTTTCTTATCATTTTCTCCCTCTTCATTGCACGCAAGCCGCCATAGCATCTGGAGGCTAACCGGCGGATTACCGTCTCTATCGACGTTTACATCGGTATCTAATTGACAGGTCTCGACCGTTCTCGTATTAGTCGTAAATTTCACAACTAGCCCACACTTATATCTCCCGGATCAATAATGCATGGTTCGATTGCATATTGCATCGGATTAAGATACCAACGGAGCTGGAGGATCTCGTCCCATTCTTGCTACCATATGGTTATTATTGATTAGGCTGTGCAACAGGTCTACTAGTCCGATTCTACTGGGGAACTGGACCGAACCGGCCATAGAAATAGGTCTGGTTTTAGAACTAGTAATGTGCGGGTAGGTTTTAGGTTTTACGTGTTGAACCCATCGACCGATCAAGGATTCGGTTAGAACCTGTTTTATGAAGTTGGAAAAAGATAATTTATCTTTCTTCAATGAGTATAACTTCCCTATTGTTTTATATTTATTCATGTTTTGTATCGACATTTTACTTTGAACCGTTTTGTTGCTCATACCATTTTACTGTAACTGCTATTTATCTTGATTTATAAAAAATGAAGCAAAAAAGAGAAAAAAAACCAGTTCCTAAGTAAACCCTACGATTGGACCGGACAAACAGGGTAGGTTCCATGGCAAACATGGTAGATTCTTTTTTTTTTTTGGTCGATAAAACATCGTAGATTTAAAGTTCCAAAAATTGAAAATCGGTTATAACATGGTGGGTTCCAGATTTCAAATTCTAAGTCTGAAACCTACCCAACTTAAAAGCGATCAACTCTATTATTGATGCCAAGGGTTTGTACCTTACTTTTGGTTCAATCATCGGAGGTACTATTCATTGGTTTCACTTTAGTTCTTGTAAAGCTATCTAATAGTACCCTTAATTATTTGCACTTTTCAAGTTGAATACCATCCTGTCTAGGGGTGATTGATTTCAGGGTAGAACGGCAGGAACCTGTTAGGAAAACCTCATAATATATTTTTAAGTTGACAAAATTGTCCAAGAGATTTTATAAGTCCGATAAATACTTTTGAAGTATTCTAAGTCCAGACTTTACAAGGATCAGAAGGAGAAGTTCGGGTTCTGCACAGTAAAAGACGAAGTTCAGACTTTGTACACGGCAGTTGAAGAACTTCAGTTTATATTAGAAACAAAAGATTTAGAGGTTAAAGAATAAACCATTCTGACTCAAGTTCTGAAATACGAGATAAGAATTAGACTTTATCCAGACGCTATCGCAAACTCAGAATAATGGCTAATAATCTGGCTTGGATTTCATCAATGAAAAGTATTGATTGATTCGATCTTAAAAGGTTATTTTGCAAGGAATATTTACATCGCGAAATATCTTTGATTGATCGACAATCAACTCTACGACAAGTTTATTTCTAATTGAAGAAGCTCTGGTTATGGAAACCAAAGTTCTTGTTGTATGGCCGACTAGATTCAACGAGATTCAAACTTTATCACTCAACGGCTGTTCAATCCTTTTTATACAAATCTGCTCAAGGTGAAGATTGGAAGATAATCCTCTGAAGACTGTCCAATGGTTAGTTTGGAAGTGGAGGAGTATAAAAAGAAACAAATTGTCAAGGAGTAGAAGTAGAGAGACGATATCCAGAATCATCTATTCTAAAGTTTGAGTATACTTTGACCAGTATAACTGATCCTTCTTGAGCTAAAATTTGTGATATTGAGAGATCTGTTGTAAGAGTGATTGAGTGATCTATCTTTCACAGGAAAGTTATTACTCAGAATTTGTAATCTCTTGATTGATCATCCAGTGGAATCCAATCAGTAGGCTGTCAGCGTTGGAGAGTGGACGTAGGCTTGATCCAAGCCGAACCACTATACATCTGTGTGCAAATTTTCTCATCCCTAAAACTCCTTTTATTTAATTAATTGCACATTTACTTGTTTGTCATTTAAAGATTGATTAAAATCTGAACATTGTTAAGACTTTACTTGTGATCAATTATTTTCGCGTTAAAATTGATCAAATAGTACTCAAATCACCTATTCACCCCTCTTTAGGTGATATTTACTAGTCTCATTAGAATCAAATCAATAGAGTCGGTTCTCAGTTTGTGGAATCGAGAATCGGCCCACCTGATCCTGTACCTACTCGGAAACCAGACCCACCTACGTGGGTCGAGGAACCGCCCATGAGCACTTTGGTCATATCTTTGCATCATTTGGAATTTCTCGTTTCTTATACTTTTAGTATTGTGGTCATTTCTTTCATTACAAGCTCCTTCGTTTAGCACAGATTAAGTACAGGAATCAAAGCCATAGCTAGGACCCAATGAGCTTGATGCGACCAACCAAAGCGGAGAACGAGAAAAGAAAACTCAGAGAAGTGCAGCAAAAAACAAAACCCACAGAGGCTAAAACTTTAAAGAAGCGAGAAATGAAAATGGTACCCGAAAAACCGTCGCTTTTTTTCAAAATGTTTATTAAAAGAGAGCTGAGAGACTGAGAGCGAGCGTGAGCATGAGGCTACAAGAGGCGTGCATCGTGAGCGAGAGAGAGAGAAGGGGCCGTGAGTGAAGAATGGGTAATAAGAATAGTTATTAGGGTTTATAGTAGAGGTTATAATAATAATAGAATATATATATATATATTGGTCTGGTCCGGTTGAGTGGATCCACACTTAAAACTAGGAACCAGACCGATATTCATCGGTTCCAATTTTTAAGTGCTGAGAATCGCCCAGATTTGATCGGTTTGGTCCGGTTCGGGCAGTGTCTAATTCGGTCCGATTCTTTTACTTACCTCTGATCCTGCTTGCCATTGAGCTTTGAATGACTTGCTATAGGAAGTTTGGGATGACCCCTACTCTTTGGGACCTGATCCGACCAGCCAGGGAGGGATGGGAACTATGCAGGCATAGTATAGGGATGGGTTCTCTTAGTTCCGATCTCGACCTTGCCCTCGCTCGACCTAGGTTATTGCTTTTTTTGTTTTTTTAGAGTTTTTGTTCCCTTGTTGTCCGTCGATTATACTAATTTCCCTCTATCACATACTATAGTTTCATTTCCTAAGAAAAAATTAAATTAACAATAATTCGTCAAATACACAATTAGGTTATTACTCTGGGAGCATACAACGATGTACCAATAAATGATGATCCGTTCACCGTATTCATCCATAGAACAATACTCCCGCTAATTAAACCCGCACTAGATACCTAAACAAAGGGCATGTTTCGTTGATTTGGAAATTACGATAATGTGTATACATATCTTTTTCTGCGTAACATAAAATGACTCAATTAGCATATGCATCATTATAGAGAACAATACTCTATTTCAGGAGTGAGCGATTCCAAATTCTGTATAGGTTCTATTTGGAACCTACCCATTGGAACAGGTTCCTGAAACCTACTTTTACGTACTTTGGAACTTGGAACTAGGATCGGTTCGAGGGTCTACCCAGGTTCCGCTTGTATTATTAATTGAACAATTGCAATGAATCATCACCTTTAATGACTACCATTTATTGCTACGTTCTACTGACCACAACTTATATTTAGAGACACGAAGAATATGAAATATTAACAAGTCATAAAATGAAAATTCAAACTAGCGGTTCCAGATTATGCACTCAATAATTAACGCCATGGAATACCGCATATCACACAAAGACTTAGACAACGAAAAAAACACAAAAAGCTTGTTTAATCTAGAACTTACCCGTCGAAACAGGTTTCCCAATTTTTGAAACCTGCAATATACCCTGCATATTTTGGAACCTGGAACTTATATCTTCTAATCGATTAGGTTCTCAGGTTTATGGTTCTATTATGAAATCATGCTCACTCCTACTTTATTTCCAAAGGTATGTTTATCCTTTAATTCATTTCGCGTAGGAAAAAGTGGTTCTTTTCTAACATCCTCACATAAGTGGTCAGCATGTTCAAGTTCACATGGTTCAAGTGACTATAGTTAGTAGTTACCACAACATCTACATAGCATTCCGCTAGTAGTTACCATATGTTTTCAAAATCATGCTAATTTTTTATCCAGTCTCGGAATTGATGAGCATCAAATTGTAGGTAAGTAGCTGGAAATATCACTAAAGTCAACCGGTATTTTATAATCACGCAACTAGATTATGCCAATACCGGCTTCGGGGGAAGGAAAAAAAAAGCATAATTTATCAACAAGTAGGGCAAAAATACAAGACCGATCGTGAAATGAATTGAAGTTGAACTATACGAAGCGAATTTGCTTCGATTTGATCGCCAAAAAGAAAGAAATAAATTAAATCCAATTGAGACTTTACAAGTAATTGATTGGACCGGCGTTAGCTCGGCAACATTATCCTCGTCGCGGTCACGTTGGTCGTGTAATCGGGATCCACCGGATCGCCGTCGACCAGCCCCGCCGCCCATCGCCGGAGTGTCCTCAGTAGGCTGGCCGCCTTCCTCTTTGCCCGCCCGGTCCCTGTCCCCATCAGCTCCCATATGACCCTCTCGATCCCGGGCATCGTCGCCAGCTCCACCACCGCATCCGGCCCGCCCTTCCTGCATATCATGACGAGGGTCGCCGCCGCGCTCTCCCGCGCCCGCTCCGACCCTTCCCGCAGCACCCTGCCCAGCTTCCTGATCGCGCAGTAGGCTGCCGCGACCGCCACCAGCCCTCCCCGCTTCACCACCGCCTCGAGGATGGTCACCGCCTCGTCCTGCAGGCTCTCCATCACGTCGCACACCATCTCCACCATCCCTTCCTCCAGCAGGTTCGCGACGGCCTCCCTGTCCCCTGCCAAATTCAAAATCGCCGCGAGCGCATCCCTCCTGGCGCTGCCGTGGCCGTCCCGGGCCAAGTCCATCAATCCCCTCACGACTCGCGTCTTCCTCCCGAGCCGTTTCATGTGGGAGTGTACGCCGGAGAGGCTGAATATCGTGGCGGCGGCATTGCCCTTCGCCTCCCACGTGGTGCCGGTGCGCAGGACCTCGATGACTCCGTTGAGCGCGCCGTCCGTCTCCATGATCCGAGCCTTGTTTGCGTCCAGGATCGACAGGTTGAGTATAGTCGTGATGGCGTTGACCTGTAGGCTCGGATACTCCGAGGCGACGTCGGAGCCTAGGTACCGGACCAGCTGCGGGATGGCTCCGGCCTCCGCGATGAAGGCCCGGCTCTCCGAGTCGGACTTCGCGAGCGCCCGGAGCTCGTGGACAATGCCGTCCGCGACCTCCGCCGGCGGGCCGCCGCGCAATTTCCGGAGCAGGAACGAAACCGTCATCTTGGTGGCCTCGATTGCGGCTTTGCTCCTCGCGCCGCCGCCGCCGCTGGCCCTCGCGGCGTCGCCGGCGGCTTCGAAGGGTATCTTCTGCTCCCGGCACCACAGGGAGATGAGATTCTTCAACGCGCGGTTGGGGATGAGGTCCGAGTGGGCCAGGGTCTGACCTGTCTTGGGACACGTGTTGTGCCCCGATTGGATCCAGAGGCTGATGGACTCGCGATCGTACGTCTGCCCGGTGGCCACGACGACCGGGTCCCGCATGAGGTCCAGCGTGATGGGGCACCGGAAGTCCGCCGGGAACGCGATGCTCGACGCCGACTTCCGGAGCCGGAACTCCGCCGGCCGCTTCGGCGGCGTGGACCCGCCGTAGAGGACGCACTTCGCGTACCGGACGAGCCCGATCAGCGCGATCGCCTGCGACTTCGCCTTCTCGTCGCTCTGGTTCTGGACCTCCTCCTCCAGACTCTCCATCTCTTGTCCGCAGCTGGACGAATCCCGCAGCCCCAGGCCCTCGAAAGCAGCCGCGAGCTGGGCTTGATCGGGCACGACCTCCCTCGCGATGCCGTCCAGCATCGCCAGCACGCCGCGCCTGAGATCGTCGTCCCTCGGATCGACGCGAGCCCCGGCCCGCGAGCGCTGGTTCTTGATCAGGTCAACGAGCTCTTCGACGTCGTCGCCCAGTTCCGCCTCCCCGACCGGGAACACGTCGAGCGACGTGGTCAGGTCGGCGTTGAGCTCGCGGAAGCTGTCGGACACGAGCTCCACCTGCAGGAGCAGCCACATCTTGCTCCCGTTGGAGCAGTCCTCGATCAGCGTCTTGATCCGCTGCAGCAGAATGTACATCTCCTCGAAGCAGAGGACCGCCGACGGGGAGCAGTACCCCGCCCGCTTCCGCAGCAGCTCCTCGAACAGGACCGCCAGGAGGTTGACCTTGCGCGCGATGGAGAGCGAGCACGACCTGAGGAGGTACTGGAACGGCCGGAGGGACGCGATCTCCTGGGAGAGCTGGAGGAGGGACTGGACGAGCTCCACGTCGGACAGCCTCGGCGACACGAAGGCCCCGGCGGACGGCCGACGCTTCCGCGGCGGGAAGGCCTGCGGCGTCACCGCCATCGGAGAACAGGGTCCGAACGGAACAGGGGGCCGCGCGCGAGAGGCTCCGGCTGCGGGCTCCTCCAATTCGAATAAGAAGAAGAAGGAGAAGAAGGAGAAGAAAACGGAATCGCCCGTTGATGGGCAAGGCTCAAGAACGAAGAAGATGAAGAGAAGAGAAGGAAAGACCACAAAAGGCGAGAGCTTTTGGGGATCTATGGGAAGACGAGAGGTTTCTTGAATGGAGAAATTGCGCGTGTTGCAGAGGAAACGATGTGTGTAGAAGCAGGAAGGTGTAGTCAGCCAACTCGCATGATTTTGTCTGTTTTTGACCGTCTCTTTTTCCTCCCAAGAAACTAAATTATACACATTCCTTTTTCAATACAATGATTAAAAAAGGAAAGAAATCGACCCCCCCCGCGGAAAATAATTAATCGAATCGGCATCCAATCCGATTCAATTTCGAATACGCTGATATTCAGATTTGATTATTCGGGCGGGTACGGGTATCCCGTACGTTATTTCGAACTCATAATCAATTAGCCTCGAATACGGGCGTGGGTCGGACCGGTCCGTATTATCGATGCGAATTCGCGCGTGCGATTGCGACGGTGATTGGTGGAGCAGGGCCGACTAGGCAAAAGAGGCGAAAGGAGATAAACCCAAAATTTTGGATTTGGGGTTTGAACTTTGAACGAGTAGAGTTATATTTAGCTAAGAATGAGGAAGACAGTGAAAGAAAGAGGGGGACGCTACGTACGTCCACTTCACCAAATGGGAGAATCGCGACCGTCTTCCAGCGCCCGCCGCCGGCCGCACGCGAACTGGACCAGCCTCGGACTTAATTTTCCTCAGCAGATCCCCAATCCCGGAGCCATCGGTTTCGGCATCAACCCCCTTATCCGAATCCGAATCCGAATCGGATTCGCCGTTCCCGGTTCCAGAACGAATAGGTATGATTCGATCGGTCGTTGGTCATTCGTCGAGACGAGAACGGCGCCGTCCCCATTCCGTCCCAATCATCTTGCTTGTGATTGACCTTTACGTCCACGGTTATCAATTGCAAAATGATTGTGCAAGTCAATTTTCAATTGTCTTTTCACATGGAGATAAAGCCAAGCCAACCCATCTCTTACGTAGTCATTGGGGTGGGTGGGTGCGGCACGTAATTGACCGTGGCCTCATTTCTTGCATGCAATTCAATAGCCAAAAGATTATAATAAATAAATAAAATCAAACAATGAAAAACCTATAAAGAAAGAAAAAGAAAAATTGACCCCGATAAGCTCGATCGAGCACTTTGACCGGAGCGAAAACCCATCCTTCTCCATACACGACCGGGCCGACTTTGTAATTACAAGAAAACCCGGGGACGGCAGCGTAAATTTATCAGGGTGCCGTTCATGCTCCCCGTTGACAAGAAAGCACAGGAATCCCGCTCCTCGGTGAGAGGGCGGGAGTCCAAGGGGCCCCCCCGGCGAGGGTCGTAGGAGGCATCGCCCCCGCGACTTCAGAGGGCTTTCATAATTTGGTCCCGTATTTTATTGGTAGTTTGAATTTTGGACCATGAATAACTACCGAATATAAAATCTCTTTCTCTTATAATTGGAAGTTGTAACATAGATGTGATAGGTCCTAATTACAGTGAAATCCTTTGCTGGATGTAGTCCTAATTTATAGATGAACCGGGATAAAATCTTCGTCTCGATTTCTCTTCCTCGCCTTTACTCTCTCTATTTCGTCGTGCTTGTACGACTGATCCTAACAAAATCCATATTAAATATAGATCGATTGTTCAAAATTAGGTGCGAATACATATACACAATTTTTTTTTAATGTTAATGTGATGGGCCGGGCACTGGTTTTTAAAGTATGGTTGAGCCATCGGTGTATGAACTGGTAAAAGAGCACAAAGGGGCGGCCGCACATGGCACCACTCCTCTCAATTGGTACCAGTAGGTAAAGTTGTTGTGTGTGGTGGTGGGGGGACTAGGTCTCATCGTCATCCAAACAATTGGCATTATAATAAGGAAATTTCAATTCGTTATTTAATGTATGGCTTCTATCTTTTTGTACAATACCCACAAAAAGTTACATACTTTGGTATAGATTCCCTGTTTTTACTCGAGTCATCCATCATCTCTTTGCCCCTAATTTAATGCCTTTTGGGGGCATGGTCCCATGATTGCTTGATTGTGAACCGGATGTGGTCCAGACACCTAACAACCTAATCACTATATTTATTCCTATACATTTCTCTTTTAATTAAGGTGGAGGGATGTCGTGGAAATTGTTAAGAGCCTTGCGCTCTTGGATTCATCTGGCTGTAACACGGGCGTTACCGACCGGCCGGTCAGCGACGGACCGCCTCGACCCGAGATCTCGAGCTGCGACGTCCCTCTTCCGGCAAGAAGATGGGTCGTTCCTAGTGTCTCCTCGACGGTTATTTTCGGGATTTTTCGTTTGATAGGATCATCTCGAAAAAATAGAAGGGTCGAGCAAATACTTGGTTCTCTTTTTTGTTGTTGTTGTTGTTATTGTTATCTTTTTTTAAGACATAGGACACGTTCGTGTGTTTCCCCACGTTGACAATATCAATCTCGAAGAGGCTTCCTAGAAAGTACTCGATGGACGTGAAGTCGAGGAAGAAACGTGGTGGAAGCAGCGCGGAAAGTTGGAAACTTTGGAAGCAGCGAATCGGCTCCCAAACGCCGCTTTCGCTTTCTTTCTCCCTCCCTGGAGTTCCCACACTGGCGTTTACTTTCAAGGAGGTTGAAATGGGAATCACATGCATGAAAAATTATAAGATCTGCTTTTCTATTTTATGTGAAGAAGCAAAACTAAGTGATAATATATATATTAAAAAAAAAGAGTAATTTATGAAGGATTCGACTAAAACTTTTAAACCAGTCGAGGTTGTTCTCCAACATAAACAAAGTCGGTGGATATTGCTAAAATAAAGTGAGAACTTAAAAAAACAGTAGGAAAGTGAAGATGAGATGATGTTGCTGTGCTTTAAGGGAACTCAAGTGCACACACTGATGGAGTCGTATCCACTTTCATGCTAACTCCAAAATAATTGAACGTTAGGTTTCATATGGCAGCACGGGAACAAAAAACGTTCATTGCATTTGTGGGATGCTTGCTCTCGGAGGCTATCTTTATAGACATGCATCATGTGCTCTTCATCGTATCGGGGGTAAATGAGATACCGAGCAATTGCGTATCGTGCCGATAGAGAAAAGATTTAAAGCTTCGTATCTTTTGAACGAGATAATTGCTCAAAAAGTCTTAAACATATTGTACCGTGATTAATTTAGTCTTGAACCTTTTAATTGTGCCAATTTAGTCATAAACATTTGACGATTTGTCAATGTAGTTCTTTAAGCCAAATTTAGTCAGAAAATTGCTGATGTGGACATTGATCATCCTATGTGCTACGGCCGGCGTTGACATTGACAAATTTTGCAAATTTTGTAATTTTTTTTTCCTAGTGAGGGGATTCGTGACCCTCGCTTAGGGGCCGGCGGGGTCGCAGGGCCTTGGCCAGTGGCAGGCGGTCGACCTTAGCAGTAACAAAAAGAAAATAAAATAAAAAAAATTTAAAAATTGCAAAAATTATCCGTGTCAGTGCCGGTCATGCCTAGCATGTCATGTAGGATGCCCGGCATCCCTGTCATCATTTTCTGACCAAAATTGGCCGGAATGACTGTATTGGCAAAATGTCAAAAGGCTTAGAAATGAATGGCCGCCGTACAATAGGTTTAGGACTTTTTGGATAATTTTCCCCTTTTGAACTCCATATCTAAGGGTGTCGATTCGATACAAACAAACGGTAACATCACTTATCCAAATCGTGTAAATACAAAGAGCATTTCACATTTGTTTTGGCAAGTATTGGAGGAAACAGACGAAAAAGATTCAGATTGCGGACTTGAATCGCGTTTGAAGAGCACTCAATCAATTCCTACCGGAACAATATTCGCGCGTAAATGAAACGCTTTCATTTCTTTCGTACAAACACTTACTCCTTTAATCCTTAACAAGTTCGATCAATAACAAGTTGCGATTCAGCTCAGGATACGACGTCTCGTTCCTGTAGGCGATGCAAGATTTGTTAATAGAGTAGCTGCATTACATGCTTTCTCTCTCTCTCTATTGTTCTTGCGTTGGTTGGAATCTTGCATGTCCTATCTAACACACCATCGATGACGAGAATCATGGAAAAACAAACACGACAAGCCTTGTAGCATCCTTCTTACACTACACCAACATAAACATAACGACAGGCTATCCAGAAAAAAAAAAACATGGATTTGATCATGGCCGGTCAGAACCACCTCCATTATTTAGAAGACGCCAGCTTAGATGATGACTCATTTGGAATTGCTTTTCTTCTACCTCGCACCCTTGCACGATCCTCGGGGGGAGGGGCGGTGGTTCGATGACGCGAGGAGGGTGGCCGTCGGCGGGGTGGGATGGTGGCAAACTCGGGTTGATGATTTGGGTGGATGGGTTGTTCGAGACTTGAAGTATTTAGGTTTTTCTTGATATTTTAGTCGTCCGAATGGGATTGATCGATGCGATTGAAAAAGTTTATTCATCAGGGATGGCTAACTCCGTACGTCCTCAATGTGCAATTTTAGGGACGGCTGCATCAGTCTCTCTTAGAAATGATATGAAATCAAGGAACTCTCCATATTCAAAGGACAACCATGTCATCCCTAATGTACATTTTTAGGGACAGCTGACCTAGCGAACTTGGCAACAGGCTAAACAAAACCGTCACTAGCTCTTTTTATTGGCAAACATAGGCGATGTTAGGCGATCAACAGTGAGCTGTCGTTGATTATTTCAACATTTAGAAACGGTTTCACCCGTTGCCCATGTAAAATTTTTTAGTAGTGCGAGAGAGCAAACTTGCAATTTAAAAACTATCTAAGTTGTAAAGTAGTAATGAAAACTTAGAATGTGTTTTTTGAACGAGTTGTGCTTGTTTGTATTCCAAGAAAAGTATAGCTGTTGTTGGACCACGCTTTCTCTCGCAAAGAACATTTCGTGACTTTGGAGCTATGCACATTGATATAATTTATTGAATCATTCAAAGATTTATATAAAGTAATCTTCTATTATTCCGGTAGTAGTGTTTTAAAAATTAAAATGTGTACCTGATCCAACGACAAAGTACACATTGGACAATGAGATTAATTTATCAAGGGCAAGCACTCTTTCTTGTTTCTTTCAATCTTATCGAGAAATTTTGGACCAATTGGAGTGGTGGTTCGATTTCACAAGTTTGGACT